ATGCTGGGGCTGGGAACGGGGCCTCGGGGCGGCATCGTGGTCACGGACAACGATCGGATCGAGATCAGCAATTTGAACCGGCAATTCCTCTTCAGGGAGAAGAACGTGGGCCAGCCAAAGTCCCTGGCGGCCTCCCAGGCCGCCTTGGTGATGAATCCAAGCATGAAGATACAGGCGAAAGAGGAGTTGGTTGCCAGCACCACCGAAAACGTCTTTCCGGACCAGTTTTGGGAGGGATTGGACTTCGTGACCAATGCGCTGGACAACGTCAAGGCGCGGCTCTACGTGGACGCGCGCTGCGTGTTCTATGGGAAGCCTCTGCTCGAGTCGGGCACCCTGGGGACCAAATGCAACGTGCAGGTGATCGTCCCGCACATTACCGCTTCCTACGCGGACGGGCCCAAGGACGAGGCGGACGAGGACACCATCCCCATGTGCACGCTCCGCAATTTCCCCTCCCTCATCGAGCACTGCATCGAATGGGCCCGCGCGCAATTCAATGACATGTTCGTAGAAGGCGCGGCGGCTGCTAAAAAGTTCGTGGAGAACCCGGCCACGTACCTGGAAGGCGCCAAGTCAGCACTAGGGGGGGCAAAGAATGGAAACGACGGCGTTGCCAGCTCGCAGAAGGCAGACCTGGGTAAGGAGATCGAATCCTTGCGCGGGGTCCAGGCCTACCTGGCAAAGAGCCAGGGAATTAAGTTCCCGGACTTGGTGGCGGAGGCGTTCGCCCTTTTTCACAAGCTCTTTCGCGATAAGTTGCTGCAGCTCATCTACAATTTTCCGGAGGACCACGTGTCTTCCAACGGCGAGAAGTTCTGGACTGGTGCCAAACGCTTTCCCCATCCAGCGGTATTCGACGCGGAGAACGAGCAGCATTTGGGCTTCATCGTCTCGGTGGCCAACCTGCTGGCAGTCAATTACGGCCTCGTGGAGCCGCCAGACAAGACCCTGATTGCGCATGATCATCAATTTCGTGACCTAACATACGTCAAACGTATTCTGGCGGACCTGTCAGTACCTCCTTGGACGCCGAGTGACGAGAAATTTGAGCTTGAGGAAGAAGAAAATGACGGGAAAGAGGCTGTTGATCCGAATGCCGCAACGGGGGACGATAGGGGCAAGGGCCCGGGGGGGGGCGACGCTATGGACGTCGAGTCGCTCGTCCAACAAGAAGAGGCGAAGGAGCGGGCAGTCTTAGAGGGACTGATCGCGGAATTGGAGGCGGTGGAGACGAAAGGCCTGGTGTTCGAGCCCGCAGAGTTCGAAAAAGACCAGGATATGAATTTCCACATCGACTTTGTGACAGCCGCTTGCAATCTCCGCGCCTCAAATTATCGCATCAAGCAAGCCTCTAGGCACAAATGCAAAATGATCGCGGGGAAGATTATTCCGGCCATCGCCACAGCCACGGCGGCTGTCACGGGTTTGGCCTGCCTGGAACTTCTCAAAGTATTGCAGCGCAAGCCCCTCGAGGCCTTCAAGGACTCCTCGAACAACCTGGGCCTGAACATGTACTTCCTGCAAGAGCCCGCGCCGGCCGTCAAGACGCAGGAACGGTACGACGATATCGAGATGGCGCACGTCAAGCCCTACCCGACCGACTTCACCAAGTGGGACAGCATCGTCGTGGACGAGGGGCCTCTCTCCTTGGAGGGCTTCCTCGCCGCCTTCAGGAGGCAAACGGGGCTAAACGTGACTCTGCTTTACCACAAGGCTTCCGGGATGGACGGCCCTCAGAAAGGTCGCTTTCTCTACAACAGCGAGGAGTACCTGCCAGCGAAGAGAGAGCTTTACGCGGCCAGGCTAACGACGGATCTTGCAGCCTGGGTGCTGGAGCGCTATGAAGGTGCGCCCGTCGAGCTGGTTGGGCCTCATCGCAAGTATCTGGAGTTGGAAACTTCAGCGGCAGATGACGACGGCAATCCCTTTCTCACGCCTACCGTCATCTATCGGTGGGCGCGCTGAGGACTAGCTAGCGTGGGTAAAGGTGGCGCGTGTAGCATGTAACAGTAGGCGATCGGCAGGAAGGCGCGTGTTTAGCTAAACATGTGAAAAAGAAATCTGTCAACAAACCGCCATCTACTGGAGGCGATATCGAGTAAAAAATAAAAAGAAGCTTGTGTTGAAAGTTGCTTTGTGACTGATTTCACTGAGAGCCATCAGACTTACATGTAGCATGGAGATAATATCATGATCCACAGCTTTTGCTGCCCCCATTTCGTACAATGTTGGCTATCGTATCTACCGACAAATATGTCCATATGCCTATATTTATGCTCCAAGTATCAAACTCCTTTCTTGTCTTGGAGAACGAGCTCGAGAAGGTCCTTCAAGGCTCTCTGACGATGGTCATGCAAAAGAGGCCGCGCCGCCCATGCGCTGGAGTACACGACCTGCGATTTATACGCAGTGGTCTGTCCATTTTGACTTAAAATTTGTTCACAAAGCCTCCCTTCTGCATCAAGAGCTTCGACTACTTCTTCCAATAGCTCTTGAAGGTACGAAATGTTTATAGTCTCCTTGAACACGTCGCGGACAGGCTCGGGGCAAGATCGAACAGTCAGAAGTGACTCCCGAAGGTTGCTCACGTACTCATTCATCTTCCGTAGCTGGACCTGGAGGCGGTGATGATCCTTCAATCTCTGCAACCAAAGCTTTATATCCACCCGAACGTGCAAGCCCTCTTCCCCGGGGAGCCAGCGGGCATCATTCGATGACTCTGTCTCGCCGGAATACTTTCCAAATCCTCTAAGGTATCCACTGGCTATGATGGCGTTGGCTAGCCCCTCAAATAATGTCAGTGAGTTATTGCGGGTCTCTATCATAAAGGAATGGCTGATTAGCAATGCGGATAGTCTATGTTCTGAGCCAGAGGCTTGCTCACTCCCCGGAACTCACCTTCCCAGCCCCGCAGCCCGCGGGCTATGGCTCGGCAAATATTCCGCGCTTGATTCTCTTCAGATTGCGAAATAGCCATTAAAATTTCCCTGTATAGTTGGAGGATATTATTAACAGATAGCATGGAAATTTTGATTCCGCGGCAAAGTTGCAAACCAGGAAGGAGCCTCAGGGGGGGCAGGAGGTTATTTGTCGCAACGTCTTCCATTATTTGTATTATTATCACAGCCTGCTTGGGTGTCGCACAATGTCGAAATACGTACAATGATGCGTCCAGCATTTACAGTCAGACACTTCCATTTTCAAATTCGCCGCAGATTCTGCGCAAGAGTGCTTTTCCCTACTGGTAGTTTGCATCAACCGGTGCAGCATGCGTTTAAGAGACTGGGCGTGGCCTGTGGGCATCATTGCCACACTTTGGGGGGCATCGCATCTAGTCTTACGGCGTGCCTACCCTGCTCCACCTCCTGGTAATCAAGCCATCATCGTGATCTCAGGTGACGATGACAATGCCATAATTTTCTCGTGGCTCCTTCAACTCCTCACGCCCCTCGCCCGACCCGGGTCCTCCCTATCCCAGGCGCCTCCACGGGCATTGGGCGTCACGCTGCAGAGTATCTTGCGCGTCTAGGTTTCACTGTCCTCGCCGGAGTGCGAAGGGAAGCCGACATGGAGGACTTACGGAGCGCTCACTTGCCGTCCCTTCACCCCATCATCCTTGACGTCACCAACGCCTCGGACGTGCGAGCGGCCGTCGAACGCGCCGAAGCCCTCGCGCCATTGCCCGTGTGGGGACTGGTGAATAACGCTGGACTCGGGTACCCTATTCCGGTAGAACTGGCAGACATGGAGAAGGCGCGGAAGCTCTTCGAGGTGAATGTGCTTGCCGTGATCGGGATGGCTCAGGCCTTCGTCCCCCTGCTTCGGAGGGCGCCAGGTGGGCGGATAGTGAATGTGGGCTCAGCAACTGGAACTATGGCGACGCAGGGCGACGGCATCTACGCCTCTTCGAAGCACGCTGTGGAAGGTCTGACGGACAGCATGCGCTTGGAGCTCGCAGCTTGGGAGATGTCCGTGTCCCTCGTCGTACCCGGTCAGGTCCAGAGCGGCATGTGGGGCAAACTCACGGGTCAGAACGCTCCGGCAATAAACGACTTGAGCGCAGATCAATACGCACTATACAAACCACTTTTCCTGCAGGTAGAGAAGGCCGTCTCGGGATTTATACCCAAACTTTCTCCAGCCTCTGTCACTTCACAAGCAATCGCCCATGCGCTCATGAGTCCTCAGCCCAAGACACGATACCTGGTCGCCAGCGTAAATGGAGTGCCTTTATGGCTACTTCGTGGTTTGTGCGGACTCCTGCCAGATCGAGTGGTCGATTTTGTTAAATTGCGCTTATAGCGAGAAGAAAAGTAAAAACGAGTCGCTACTCGGCAATATGTAGTTACTCCCTCCTTGTAAAGTGATGTGTGCAAATGAAAGCAACGCAGCTAGGGCCTGCACCCCTCACTTCATTGATGTGATGATCTTGCACAGTTTTTGCATCATTACTCGTCCAATGCGGCGCTGCCAGCCTGGCACTTCCCATCCGTCCCGTTTGCCGCACGAGGCGAGGCTTTGAAGGGATTAGCCTGGGAACTCACTGTACGCGTTGAGTTCATCCACGTGTCTCGGAACAAAGGTGACGCTTTGATCCTTTCCTTGGACTGTGCTGTCTCCTAGTGACGGGTTCCCCCCTCTTCCCTCGCATGCCGTGTGAATAGCACGTAAGACCTGCTATCTCATGCCGCGCATCACTGTGCGCACGCAGTATCACACGAGGGACAAGTACAAAGTTCTGTTGGTAGGAAAAGGGGCCGCATCATCTCAAACAATACCCGTAGGTGGGTTATTTCTGGCTCTTCATTTCCCGCTGCAACCTCCTCCCGAATGTGTGCTTGAAACCCTAACAGTTTGTCAGACAAACAGATCGACAATCTGTCCCCTTTTTTGCTCGACACAATCTAAGTAAGCATGTAATTTATCAATATCTCACTAACGCAACTACCTACCATTGGCCTACAGGCCAGGCTCACGGCAATGATGGAGGGAAAGGAGGAAGCTGTCTGGACGCGCGGATGGCTTTTTTAACCCGGACATGCGTTAAAAGGGCAGCCTCGCAGCAAAGATATGACTGTTCCTGATGCTCGACCCTGCCCTTTCGGCCGAGTCGCAGTGTGAGGACCTACGTCCCGACGAATGGGTATACCTAGCTGAGGGAAATCTCCATGTCCTTCTGGCCTATCGCGGCCAGTGCGCGCGTTTTCGAGATCATGTTCTGCGTCTCCTGAAGGTGCGACATGGTGGGGAAAAGAAGGCGCTATACGACCCACGTCAAGAGCGGCACTATGTAGAGCATGTGGTGGGACCTGTGCTCGGGCACCAGTACCTTGAAACGGGCACCTCTTTGACGGTAACGCCCTCATTTTTGAACGAGGTGGCGATACAAATCATGCCTCACCGCCCCGCACGACGTGCTGTGTACGACCTGGATAAAACTGCCTGTACAGTGGAGTGCCTAAGGGATCTGACCCGTTTTTTCCCCCCAATGCCGCACGCAACCTTGACCGCCCCGCCCACCTGCCAGCTCACCCTCGAAATCAAACCCAAAGCCGGGTATCATTCCCGGAGCCGACTCGTCCCTCCCGCGCGGCGATTTAAGTTTCAGGAGAGTCGATTCTCGCTCATGCAGCGCTATCGCTTTGCGGTCTTGGAGACCCAGGCTCTGGAGCCCGAGTGGGGGGATCTCAGGGAGGGCCCCAACTGGGGATACTCGCCTCCGGACCTCTTCTCAGGAGAGGTGGAGAAGATGACGAGGACGCTGCAGGCCCTGATTCGGAACCCGCAAAATTTTTTTCAATTTTTTGTGGGTCCCCGGCTCGTGTACGGTCGTGGAGAGCGGCAGGTGGGGCTGGCGCGGAATGCGGCCCGCCAGCTTTTGCTCCCAGGGGGGGCATGCGCCGAGGGCTTCGGGGCCGAGAGCGAGGAGGACCCGTTGGATACCTTGATGGAGGCGGTGGCGCAGGTGCTGCAGCAAGAATGCTTGCTGCCCCGGCTGCTGAGCTTGCAGCGCCTGGACGTGCTTGACGTGGAGGGGGCGGGGGCCGTAATGGAGAGGCTGGTGGAGCTCTGTGGGGGGGAGGAGGCAGCGGCCCAGGCGCTGCTGCAAGAGGAGGTCTTGCAAGCTCGCCTGCTTAGGACAGGAGCGGAGGAGGAGGGGCCGGGCGGAGAGTCGATGTCCGCGATGGCGCGGCGCCTGGAGGCGGCGCTGGGACTGGGCCCTTGCGGCGCACGAGGAGGGTCAGGGAAGGGCTCTACCTGCGAGGGGGAGCCTGCGGGCTTCGTTCTGGAGCAGCAGCACAAGGAGGCCCTGGCCACTGTCCAGCGCCTGAGTCAAGCCGAATGTCTCTTCCTTCTGCACCGTTGGCTCATCGCCCTGGGGGCCAGCGACTGCAGCATCATGCTCGCGATCCGCCGGTGCCCAGATGAGGCCGCCCTCCCCCTCACGCGGTTCTCCCCGGTCCTAGGTCAGGATGCCTCTTCCTTGCAGCCCCTCGAGAGCTTCTGCCAGAGCGCTTCAGAGCCGGGCCTGCTCTCCTTCCGGCCCACGCCTCCCGCCCAGGGGGGAAGGGAGAGAGGGGCCGTTCGTCTGGCCTACGCCATGCATGTGGTGGACCTGGGGCCCAAGCCACCCACGAAGGTTCTCTCGAAAGCGCGCCTGGAGGACGGGATCATTGCGGCGGCTCAGAGAGCGGGCTCCAGCGCAAAAGAGGCCAGCCAGAGGTCCTCAGGCGCAGTAAGCACGCACTGAAAAGGGGCGTTCGATCGAACGGAAAGGAATAATAAGGGTCCAGGACCATTTCGGCCGACGAGCGTGTCGTTCTTTGGTCGCATTGTCTTGGATGAGGCTTCCTCTCTTCGCTTTACAGCATGCGTCTTCCTCGCTCACCCCAAACCCAGCTTGCTCAAAAATTTCTTCTTGCTCTTCTCCTTCTTGCGGACCTCCTTCAAGTCCCTCTCTTTCCAATCGCACTTGCGCAGCTTCACGGGTCGACTCCCCACATACTTCCCGTTCATCTCTCGCAGGGCCTTGAGCCCCTCCAGCGGGTCCAGAAAGGAGACGAAGCCGTAGCCTCGCGACTTGCCTGTGCCCCTGTCGCGGAGCACCTTGGCCTTGGCGAAGGAGGGGTACTTGCCTCGGAAGGCGTTCGTCAGATGCTGCGAGGGGTCGGCGAAGGAGAAGAAAGAGAGAGGGAAGGAAGGGGAGGGAGGTAATGAGGAGAGCCGGGCCAGTCAAGCAGTCGCCGAGGCGCGCAGACAGAGGTAGCTGAGACAGGGCCCACAGCCAGGCATCGACACGGAAAGGCCGACGGATGAGGCGCCGCCATGAGGGACACTGCAGACACTCACCTCGTCGGTCACTTCCGGGCCCAGATCCCCGCAGAAAATGCGGAAGTCGTCTGTACACAAGTGTCACTGGGAGTCAGCCTGCCTGCCCGACTCCCACTGACATCACATCCCCGTCCACCCACGCCCCTCCCTTCACCTACGTACTTTCAGGCCACTCGTTCAGCGTCGGATCCTCCCACGTCTGGCCGGGCCCGACGCGGATGAACTTCTTGGGCTTGCCAGCCTCCGTTTGACCCTGCGTGCCCCCTCCTGGCCTCGGCCCTCCCCCTGGTCTTGGCTGTTGACCCGCCCCCCATGTCCCCGCTGCGGGCTTGGCACCTGCTCCCACAGTGAAGAGAGTACCCACGCCAGCGCCGGCCACAGCCTGAGGCGGCGCTGTAGTCCCAGAATAGGGGCCCGAGAAGTCTTGCGAAGCAGTAACAGAGCTTGACGGAGCGGGCACACTGGACTCCGGCCTAGCCCGGGTCGGAGCGGCAGAGACGGATATCGCCGGAGCGAAGGCCGATGGCTTTTCCTGCGTTCCAGATGACGAATAGGGAGATGCCAACGGGGCGGAGGCCGTGGGAGTGTGCGACCCGTCACCGTCGCCGGCCGTGCCGTAGAGCAGGGGCTTGGCTGCAGCGGCCTTGGCCTTCTTGAAAGCCGGATGGTGCGAGGGAGGCATGGTGGGGCCAATGTCATGACTTACATTTTCGGGTTCTTCGTCTGCGAATGCAATGGGTGGGTGAACAAACCGAAAAAGTAGCATGGTGTAAGGAAATCGGTAGCATACTAGCACCGATTCTTCTACACCATATCAGTTTTTGGACGGCAGTTCAAGCCCCCCTACTCCTGTAAAGGAAAACAAAACTCACCACGGCCTCTTTTTCCAGAAGCATTTAATGTAGTTGAGCCCAGGTGGCGCCCGTCCTGATGTTCTGGCGCCTCGCCTTCTCCTGCATTGGGCCCCGCCTCCTCTTCAGGCGCCTTGACCTCTTTGAGCTCATTGAAAAAACCAAACAGGTCGTCATCCGCCATGACTGCACAGTGAAACTACCTGGCTATGCATATACATATATCGAGGGGAGTTGAGAGGTGCGGGGATACAAAGCGCCTTATTTGCGGGGGACCGCCATTTCTCAGGCCCTGATTGCACTAGGATGATGCCGGAGCAGGCGCCAGTGACGTTATGACCGATTGCTATCTCCGAGGGAAAACGTTCCTGTCTTTGCCCGTACTGCCTCACTGGCGCGTGGGCACGACAAGGACGTTGCGATCTTCCCGATATTAAAGACGTCGTTGATGTGGTGGCAGGTTACAATAATGGACCTTACACAATTGCACTGGAAGGGGTTTGTCGCAAACGAGGTCTTTCAACAAACAAAACCGGGCTGACAAGAAAAGCGTTTTTATGTTGATTGTTTGCGGTACGTTTCATTCCATAGTGTACATAAGAAAAAATCCATAAATCGGTAGGGTCATCGACGTACGAGCATTCATAGTCATGTTCGCCCCTTCTTCCTCGTCGTCCTCAGGAATACAGCCAGCCTCCTCTCTTTTAACTTTACTTTCTCCTCAAGCCCCTGAGCCTGTTTTCCGGCTTCATAGGTCCACTCCTTAAGCATGGCCTTCAATTCTGCTACAGCTCGGCGTTTAATTTCTCTTTTTTCACCCTCCCGGGCTTGTTTGCCTTGCATCTCTTCTGCCTCCTCACGATTTATGATCCGAGATGCCGTCCTGCACATCCATTCCTTCTTGCTTTCCGCCTCTTTGATACACAAGAGAACAGTTTCAACGTCTCCAATTTTTTCTGCGCAGCGCAAGACAAGCTTTATGATAGAAGCGTTCTGGACGTATGCTTCTTCCCGCGCGTGAAAGAAGGCCACGCCCTCCTGATAGGCACCGCCAGCGTAGGCGTGGTAGACTAGGAGCTTCAAGGCACGCTGGGTTAGGCGATGTCCGTCCTCAGCATATCCCGGCCCACGGAGATGACCCTGTCGGAAGCACCCATCCTGTCCCCCGCCTTGATGGCCGCTCCGTGCATGCCGACATGCTGGGGCAGGCGCCGGTCCTGGGCCTCCGCGTAGAGAGCGAGCAGGGAGGCGTCGTCCTCCTCGCTCAGGTTCAGCGCGTTCAAGACGGCTCCGTAGTGCGCCTCTGTCGCCGCTAAGCCTTTGGCCTGCATCTCTCTCAGGAGGCGCAGGGCTTCCAGCCCCCGCCTGTCCTTGGCGCAAGCATTCATGGCGCAGGCGTAGGCCACGGCGTTGGGGGCGAGCCCCCGCTCCTCCTCCATCTCCCGGAGGAGCCCGAGGGCCTCGGAGGCCAGGGACCGGCGAGCACAGGCGTCTATGGCGGTGGTGTAGGCGACGGCGTTCGGACGAGGTTCACCCCCGGTGCCCATGCGCCGCAAGAGGGCAAGCGCCTCCTCCGCCCTCCCGGCCTTGCCCAGCGCGTTCATTGTGGACCCGTAGCATGCCACGGACGGCACCAGGCCTCTGCACCTCATCCGTTCCAAGACGCCTTGTGCCGCCCTCCAGTCTCCCGCTTTCTCGGCCGCGTGGATCAGCAGAGAGTGGCTATAGACAGACCTCTCCGCCGCGGGCATCTCTTCAAGCAGCCCCTGCGCCTCCTTCAAGAGTCCGCTGCGCGCGCAGGCCATCAGGGAGTAGTTGTAGCACCACACGTTGGGCACCAGGCCCCGCGCCTGCATCGTCCGCAAGGCCTCCAGCGCCTCGGGTCCCCGCCCCGCCCTCGCCAGTCGCCTCAGGCTTCGGCTCTCAGTGGACGAGGCCTGAGGCGTCCCTCCCGCCGCCGCCACCGTCAGCCTTTCGCCCCCCGCCGCCTCCCTCCTCCCCCGTTCACCACCCTCACAACGCTCTTGACCCCCGCCCCGCGCGTCCTCTCCCCGTGAAGGCGCAGACCGCCCTCCCTCTCCCCCCGCGCCGTCCCTTCCAGCCCTCGCCAACTCCGCACAGGCCTCCTCCGCGGCCGCCACCTCCGTTTCGGCCAGGCATCCTTTCTCACTCAATCCACGCATCTCTTGCAGCACGTGCCGAGCTCCGGCTCGACGCACTTGTCGGGCGTAGGCGGTTGCCACCGCGGCGTAGGAGGAGGCCATAGGCAGCCTCCCCAAGAGGGTGAGGCGTCGGAGCAAGCTGTTTGCATGGTCCGCCATCCCGCCTCGGGCCAGCCGAGTTATGGCTTGATCAAAGTCTGCGGGGGAGGGCTTTCTCGCCCCTCCCTCCCCCTTCCCTTTTCCCCGCGCTTCTCCTTGCAACGCGCGCTCGAGCTCCAGCCAGGCCCGCGGAGCTGCGGAGGAGGAGGACAAGGTCTGGAGGAGGAGCTCCTCCATGCTGCTGGATGCCGACGAAATCAGCTCGACCAAACGGGTGTCGCTTTCGCTGTCACCCCCTTCGTCTCCTCGGACAGGCATCGAGGCCGCTGCCTCAAGGCTCTGCAGCACTCTCCTCCTCAAGCCTTCTTCCCCCCCCGTCCCCAGGCCCCGCTTCCGTGTCTCCAGGTACAGCGGGTACAGCGCCTTCCAGCCATCCTCCTCGGGCAGCGCCGCAGCCACGCTTTCCCACCAGTTGGCTCCCAGAGTCTCCGTCATGCACCTACCCGTCCCCTCCTCGCGAGGGAGGGACGCCCCGAAGCCGACCACGGCGCGCTCGAGTTTCACCCAATGCTTGCATGCCATGCCCGCCTGTAGCGCCATCGTCAACTCCGCGGGTAGTATGGGCCCGTACAACGACGCCTTATGTGCTGGCGGCACGTCGTGCTGGGGCAAGAAGATGCCACTTTCCTGTCCGGAGGAGCAGAGTTCCTTGAACGTCCGCAGCACCCCCATATGCAAGCCCTCGGAATGGCAACGCTGCATCAAGTCCACGAGCATTTTCCGTTGTACCTTCAAATTGCCTGTACATGCTTTGAGCATTTTGAAGCCGAGATCGACCCGACATTTATCCTTGGATGAGAGCCATTCCAGCGAGGACAGGGACGGAGGAGGCTGCGGGGAGGCTCGAGTGGAACGGGGTCGGTGAACATTATGCTCATGTTCGGTTGAAAGGGAGGGATAAATGCTCATCCCATCTCTGCAAACATCCTCAAAGGCGTCCGTGACTCCATTCCTTCGAGCGCTGCGCAAGCCGTGAGAAGGAGGCGGCCCCCTCACGCCTCGATGTCCGAGCCCGCCTGGGCGAAACGAAAGCCGTCGAGGTCCTCGCGAGAGAATGCAAACACCTCCGACCATCAGGATCCTCCGCATGTCGCTCCAATGCCTGTCTTTACAGGATCATGACGGCTATCGGAAGGTGAGTGATGGAAGCCTTCTGGTATCGACCAAGGACGTGCACCCGTGAGGCCCGGAAGAGGGCTGTGTCCTCCCA